ATAAATCACGATTTGGCGTTCAAAATTGCCGCAGGGTACAGCCCACAGGGGGGTACACATGTCGCAGAAATACGGTAACTTGGGTAATCTGGCATAAATCATATAATAATATTAAAAACTTTGTTGATGAATTTTATAATATTTTTGATATATTAAAATATTGATTATGTTATTGTAATAAAATATATAAATAAAAAAAGAATCATTATTTTATAATCTTGAAGCAGTATTAGAAGATGAGTTAGAAAGTAAACTGAATATATTATATTAAATAGCTTAAAAACCAACTAATTTGATTGGCCAATAATCATATTTAGATTAGCCAATTAAATGAATATATTCTAGTAAAAAAATCGATTTCTTACTAGAACTACTGAAATACTAGAAGAATCTAAATATCTAGTAGAATTTCAGTCTTTTAGTGACAACACTAACCCTAGCCATGACAAAAAAAGTTTAGGTTATGTGACGATCTGTAGTAAATTAGCTAATAACAATTTCTAATTTGGTGTAATATAACATAATCAGGAAGATTTAAAACAAACATTTGTTCTAAAAAAAATTAGAAGAAATTGTTTATTTCTTAACAAACTTTATAAGAAACAACCTTCTGCATACTAATAAAAAATGGCAAACTCTAATTTTAATTTGAATCCTAACCCTAATCTAAATAAGCTTAAAGATTTTTATCGATTATTACATGGCCCGAATTTTTTTTGCCATGGCTAGAGTAGTGTTTCAAGTTGATTAAAATTTTTTCAATCGATTAGTTGTCAACTTAGTTGTTGATTAATTGCAACTAATAGTCACATGTTTTCAATAAATTTGATTGGCATGATAAATAATCACGTGTTTTCTATATCATTTTAAACCGTTCTGATTGGCTAAAAAAACTCTATGTTTTAAATTTATTATGTAAACAATCAACCAACGATTAGTTAAACCAATCGATTAGTCAACTAGTTGTCAACTAGACTAGGTACCCGCCAAAAAGTGTAACCGTGAGCCAATAAAAATCTACAGATCATTCTAGAATCGATCTAGAATGCAATCTGTTACACAAAATACGATTTTCCAAATTTGGAGATATCCCCGACTGTAGGATTCCGAAGTTAGCCAGCACTAGCTATAATGCTGGCCAATTTAATCAGTGTTATGTTCTTTCGATAATCTGTTGTTCCCCAAATCGGTATTTGTCAGCCGTTATTCTCTATCCAATACTCAATATTTAATTGGCATAGATAATCTCAATTTAACAATAGATAGTCTATCTAAAGCGATCTATATTTCTATTTGATAAAATTTTTTTAAAGATTGATATTAACGAAGTTATTAACGAGAGTCCAAAAATAATTACAATTTTTTTTTTTTTGCAATTGCAATCAAAATTAGCTTTTTATGCATGGTACACATAAAAACAAGGTACATATTGAAATAAAAAATATATATTTTATATTATTAACGTCAAAGAATATCATATATCAAAGATCTTCTTTATTTAATATAAAAAATTATTAATTTTTTGGTTTTTTTTTTTTCTGTATTGAAAATAAAGAGATTACCAATATATTACTTTTTTATTTTCATTTTGGTAAGCGCACTTAAAAAACTATCCAAATCGTTCAATTCATTTTCTGCATTGAATGTGTCCGATTCTAAACTAGTTTCATCGTCCGTTTTGCTTTTACTGAATTGGTCATTCATCCCCGACCGAAAATCGAAATTAAAGTCACGAGATGCCACAGTCTTATGCTGCAAATCGTTGACATTTCCTACCCCTCGATTCGATCCAGTTCTATTAACCCCATTATTTTCAAACAAATTACGAATATCTTTGGGTATTGTGTATCCAAAGCTTTCCATTTCTTCCAAAGCCAGCTTAGCCCTTGAGTCATTATGATTGATGCATGTTTTAATGATTTTTTCATAAATAGTAGATGATGGTAAAATATTTTGCGCTTTCATCTCTTCCAAGTAAACAAATGCATCTTCGTAATCATAATCTGTACCACAGCATAAGTATATCATACGACGATACGACTCGCTATCAGGTTGTATGCCTGCACGCTGCATCTCCGTCCAGAATTGTTGTCCTAGTTCACGATGTTGCGCTGAAAAACATACACCCAATAGCGCATTAAACGTATGAACATCTGGTTTAACACCCAGTTTTTCGGCTGATTTGTATGTCTCTACGGCACGATGTATATCTGGTTTGGTTCGATTTCCAAATTTAATCCCGGATCCGTTGACAAAGCGACATGCGTTAATTATGGTATTTAAAGCCAGCACATCAACTTTTTTTACCATCTTTAACAAGTTCTTCCAGGCTGTAATATGCTTTATCAATGGATTCAACGTTTTTGGAAATGGCAGCTACGATCGGAAGTGCGGTCCTACTATTTGGCTTAACTCCCGCTGCGGTCATTACCGATAGCATGTCCATAGCTTGTTTAATGTCATTGTCATTAATAAAAGCTTCCAATAGTGGTTCCAAATGCCATTTATCAAGAGATACTTTGCGATTTTCCGTCAAATATACGAGTACCTGTGCCGCAAGATGAGGCTTTCCAAACCTTGCAGCTACATGAAGGACGTCTATACAAGCACCTTCGTCAAGATCTAAATAACGTTCTTCGATGATTTTTTCCCAACAATATATTAGACCATCGAGCTATAATATATATCGAGCGATAAGTACCATACATAAATAAGAGAATGAAATAAATGAAATTCACCCACGTAATATTGATCTGTAGAACATCTTAAAACATCATAATACATCGATGAATATGTCGGTAAATTTTCAGCTTCCATCCTCTTTAGTAAAGAAAGTGCTTCTTCAGGCCATTCAAAATGACATATCTTCTTCATCAAGTTTTCGTACATTGTGACCGTTGGCTGAATTCCTTTATTTTTCAAAATGTCTATAAAATCAATACCTCGTTCAATTTCTCCATTAACTAACAAAGCTGTAAGATAGTTATCATAAGTTACAATGGTTGGCTGAAGCCAATCTCTTTCGATCATGTCAAAAATAAGTTCCCGTAGATGAGCAGGTTGATTTCCCGGAGACATTATAACTGTCTGCATAAATAATGAAAATTTTCTTATAAAGCCAAAAATTATAAGGCTTTTTCTATGTGATAATCAATAATGTTACCTTCAATAAAGCATTGTATGTATCTATGTTTGGCTTTATTCCCGCTAATAACAAATCGTCCAGTAATTTGAATGATTCTAATACATCTCCGTCACTTTGATATGCCGATAGCAATATGTTATACGTATTTACATCTGGCTTGATATTTCTTAATTTCATTTGATCACAAACATCTCTCATTGCAACAGTCCAATTATGCTTCTTATAACGTTCTAACCTACGATTGAAGGATTCTAACGTGTTATCAATTTCAAATAAAGGTTCTATGGGTCTAATCGGAACATCATGAGTATTTGTATTTTGTGTACTATAATTAAACGAAAGGCGAAATCCTCGGCGAAAGGCGAAACTCCCGGCGACTGGCGAAAGGTGAAACCCCCGGCGAGAGACAAAGCTTCTGGAGAAAGACAGCATCTCAAAGTTCTAATGAAAATAAGAGAATTATGTCAATAATATCAGATATGACACGAAACGTGGCTTATATAAATATACCATTACTGCTGAAAAAAAAAAAACCAACCTTTTTTTGCCCTCAGCCCCTTAAATTATAGATATAATCCAAATGTCAATTGGCCAAAATTATTAGCCTAAACAAATTAATTTAGGCAGGGCGTTTAGTTAAATTGCAACCCTAGAAGTGATTGATTATAATTTTTTAAAAACTAGCGAAGGTTTCTCAATAACTACTTGATCAAATTTCATCAGCAAATATATTTCTACGTCAAATTTAGCATTAAAAATTGTTTGATATATGTTTAATGTTAAAGAATAATGTTATAATCATATTATAAAAAATTTATTGTTAAGAAATTATTAAATATATTTATAGGGAGCCGGTATTTCCACACCCCTTTCCACACCCTATGTAGATCACTCATTTTTAAAACTTTTATCGAAGGTATCTCAACAGCCACTGAGTGAAATTCGATAAACTTTTTTTTATTTGAATTCTATGGATTCATAAAATTCAAATAAGAAAAAGTTCATTGAATTTTATTAGGTGGTTGTCGAGATACTTTCGATCAAAGTTATGCATGAATTTGTCGCGGCTAACATTTTTAATAGACATTTAAAATTTTTCTAAAACTTTCATCAAAGCTATCTTGACAACCACCTAATGAAATTCGGTAAAAATTTTTTTTATTTGAATTCTGTGAATCGATAGAATTCAAATAAAAAAATTTTTATCAAATTCACTGAGTGGTTGTCGTGGAAAATTTTTAAATATAAGCCGCAGCAAATTTGTGCATGATTTTGATCGAAGGTTTCTCAACAATCTCCCAATGAAATTTGATGAACTTTTTTGTATATGAATCCTATGGATTAATAGAATTCAAATAAAAAAAGTTCATCGAATTTCATTAGGTGGTTGTTAAGGTAGCTTCGATGAAAATTTTAGAAAAAAGTTTTAAAAATGAGTGATCTATATAGGGTGTGGAAATACCAGCTCCCTATTTATATTATAAAAGTTTTGTAGTATTAATTTTAGACTAGAATTTAATATTAATCTTATATTAGTTTAAATATAGCATTAATCTATTAATATAATTTAATGTATAAATGCTATAAAGAATTAAATAATAATATTTTAACGGTAATTTTTTAATATAAAATTTTTACTAATATAAATTAATATTAATTTTATATTAATTTTATTTTAATTTTTGTCTAATCATTATTAAATAATACTGTCATTTTTCTACCTTCTTAAGCAGTCATTGCATTCATATGATATGTAATTAAAATACTATTATAGAAACAAATACAGATACTTACAGGATTTTTTTTATTTTTTCTTATAAATTAGCTGCAAAATATTAAATTTTTTGGTTTTAACCATTAAAACTAAAAAATTTAATATTTCAAATATATAGTATTTGGATCTGTCTAAATTTTTTTAATTTTGGTTAGTATAATTTATTAAATTAGATAAGTTGAAAAATATAGGTTAGTCAAAAAAAACTCAAAATACACTCTTTTTAACAATCCCTCATACCAAAATTTCACAGAAAAACTAAACTATGGAAACTTTATACATATTGTATTTTATACAAACAGAACTCTATCCAGCTGCTATCAGGTACAAAGTTTATTTACTGAGTGTTTTATTTACTGAAATAGAGCTGAAAAAGATTAATAACAGATGGTTAAGCAAGGCACCTTGGTGGGCTATGGTACTACCTAATGCTCCTATAAACCGGACTCGAACCGGACTTTAGTTAAGTCTGAGTTTGGTTCGATTTTCGGACCAGATTTGGACTTTTATATTTAAACTTTTTAGTCAAGTCTGAGTTTGATCTGGGTCCGGTTTGAAGTTCGCGAACTAGTCCGAGTTTGAATATAATTATATGTATTTTTTTGTGCTAAACAAGTTTACTTAGTATATATTTTTAGAATTAATTAGTAAAATTTTATAAATTATAAGATTTTATAAAATTTTATTAATAAAATTTTATAAAATCTTATAATTCACAAAATTTTATTAATTAAATCTAACTTTATGCACTAATTAAACTTATTCAGCACCAAAAATACATCAAATTAGCAGAATTATTTTTATTTTACTTGAAATTTAGAGAATATATGCATAATTTTTGATTTTTGATCAAAAAAATCAAATTTAAGCATCTATTCTCCAAATTTCAAATAAAATAAAAAAAACAATTAGCCAATTTAATGTATTTTTAGATGCTGAATAAGTTTACTTAGTACAATAAGTTAGAATTAATTAGTAAAATCTTGTGAATCATAAGATTTTATAAAATTTTATTAATAGAATTCTATGAAATCTTATGATTCACAAAATTTTATTAATTGATTCTAACTTTATATACTAAGTAAAATTGTTTAGCATCTACAAATACATTAAATTGGCTAAATATTTTTATTTTACTTAAAATTTGGAGAATAGATGCTTAAATTTGATTTTTTAATCAAAAATCTAAAATTATGCATCTATCCTCTAAATTTCAAGTAAATAAAAATAATTATATTATTTCGATGTATTTTCAGGTGCTAAACAAGTTTTCTTAGTACATAAAGTTAGAATTAATTAATAAAAATTTGTAAATTATAAGGTTTTATAGAATTTTATTAATAAAATTCTATAAAAACTTATAACTCACAAATTCTTATTAATTAATTCTAACTTAATGTATAAAGTAAACTTATTTAGTACCTAAAAATACATTAAATTGGCATAATTATTTTTATTTTATTTAAAATTTAGAGAATAGATGCATAATTTTGAATTTTGATCAAAAAAATCAAATTTAAGCATTTGTTCTCCAAATTTTAAGTAAAATAAAAAAAATTTGGCTAATTTAATATATTTGTAGATGCTGAACAATTTTTCTTAGTAAATAGTTATAGAACTACTTAATAAAATTTTGTGAATAATAAGATTTCATAGAATTCTATTAATAAAATTTTATAAAATCTTGTAATTCACAAGATTTTACTAATTAATTCTAACTTAATGTACTATATAAACTTATTCAACATCTAAAAATACATTAAGTTAGTTGATTTTTTTGAAATTTGGAGAATAGATACTTAAATTTGATTTTTTTGATCAAAAATCTAAAATTATACATCTATCCTTTAAATTTCAAGTAAAATAAAAATAATTCTCTTAATATGATGTATTTTTAGGTGCTGAATAAGTTTACTTAGTATATAATATTAGAATTAATTAACAAAATTTTGTGAATTATAAGATTTTATAAAATTTTATTAATAAAATTTTATAAAATCTTATAATTCATAAAATTTTACTAATTAATTCTAAAAACATGTACTAAGTAAACTTGTTCAGCACAAAAAAATACATATAACTATATTTAAACTCGGACTAGTTCATAAACTTCAAACTGAACTTGAACCAAACTTATAATTGAGTCTGAGTCTGATTCAAAGTCCAAAATTAATAAAATTTAGAGTTTGAGTCTGGTTTGATCTTGGACTGAATCTGAACCGGACCAAACCTAAACTGAACCTAGAAGTACTAGTACTACCAAGCAAAGAAGTAGTAGAGCAACTCTGAAGCTCTGTCAAGCACTACAAATATGAAAATAGAAATAGTTGCTTGTTAAAATACACTATTCTATATAGCATAACTCTTATACTCTCTTTTTTTGATACACCTTCAATTATGCCTTTGATTACTACCACCTACTTATCTTGGCAATAAAAATATTTTTAAATAAAGTAAACAAAACAGCTTACCTCTACCAAAAGATTGGTATTGTTTACATTTTCCAAATTTAGATGACATAGTAGTTAGCAATTACATATTTGGTCTTAATAAGCATGAAACTACTATTTTGGGTCGACCCTGGGTCAAGAAAGCAGCAGCAGGCATAGGTTCTTGGACCAGCAACACCTGGCTTGAGATACAGACTAGAAGTAGATTGGTTTAATACTTCTGATATTGGTTTGTCAAGATAAAAAATTTAGTAATAAGGCGAAACCTTACAATAAAGATATACGAACATTACTTTTCAAAGTAGTATATAATTTTTAAAACCTTGGCACAGATTATAATAGTGCTGTCTTGATTGTTTCTTTCTTTTTTTTTTCATGCTTTTTTTTATCCTTTTCTAATTATAATTGAATAGTGTCTAGGATTTTTAGTTTTTCTTTGTTTTTTCTAGTTTTTTCTTTTTGGTTTAGTTTTAGTTTATTTTTTCTTTCTTGTTTCTTCTAAATATTTGTTTTCTTTTATAAGATTTTCATTACTTGGATAAAAGTGAGGGATAAACTTCTTTGTCCAGATCTAGATAGAGAAAGTTGTGAAGGAAGAAAGATAAAACAATCTTGACAAGCTAACAATTGGCTTATAGTAATTTAACAGATCAGTTCTAGTGAGTTAGAGCCCCAAAAATAAGTGAACAATTTGTTGCAACAGTCGCATATAGACACCAAAGATTGGCAATAGTTGTTAGTGATAAGGCAGCCATGTGAGTTTTTATTGTACAAACAAGAATTGTAATTAGATCTAGCTTAGTTAGTGAATTTTATATAAAAAATGTAAAGTATATTTTACTTCTAAAAATTCTCTCATATAATAAAAGCAAGATTTGCCAAAAAAAAAAAAGAAAAAAAAAGAAAAATATAGATTAGTTTAGACTTAATAGTTAGAAAATATAAATATATTAGTTTAGAAATAATGTTGTGTT